TTTTATCCTGTCTCCTCTGTGACGCTGCCCAGGTTTTCCAGACGCTCCACGCCACGGGCCAGTCTTCCATGGTACGCGACTGGGTGCTGCTGTCTTTGTCCAACTTCACTCAGAGGACACCGGTAGCCATGGCCATGTGGAGTCTGTCCTGCTTCTTTGTCTCTGCTTCCACCTCCCAGTGGGTCTCTGCCCTGTATCCTTACATGATGTGGGGTAGAGCTAATGAGTAAGACGGGGATTATTTTTCCATTTTGTCCTGGGGAATTATTATAACCCTCTGCTGGAATATTTGGACAGTTTTTCATAATCAATTTTTACATCATCAGTCATCTCGTATTTAAACAGATGGAGAGGAAGACTGGCTGAGCATTAGATCTGATGGTATCTGATTACTGTTTGGCTTCTTTGGTGGTGATCAAATAATCTACACTATTCAGGAAATGTTGACTGAACTTGATGAGAGCCATGAAACAAACCAGTTTCTCTCTTCATCGAGAAGGACTGAACAGTGATTTTTAGTCTCAGTGATTGGCCAGCACAGTTGTTGTCATGATGCTCATATCAAGATGAACAATTTTCTCAAACCACACGAGTTCTTCATCCAGCCATTGTTGACTGTAATAGTAATTTGATGATTTCATTACTATGGAAAAGGTTAGTCTAGCAGTGAAATGTCCTGCTGGGATACTCGCCACCTCCTAACTGCGTTACGAGTTAAACAACCCTCTCCCAGATTTCTGTTTTAAGCAGCCCGGTCTGAACTCTCTGCTGTTCAAATGTTGTGATTTGTCTCCCTTAACTTCCTGCGCCGCTGACCAGCCTTCCACACGTGATCAGCCGGATGGGGTCCAGTGAGACAGTGGACGTCAACCTGTTCTGCCTGGTGGCCATGGATTTCTATCGGCACCAGATCGACGAGGAGCTGGACCGCAGGGCCTTTCAGTCGGTGTTCGAGACGGTGGCGTCGCCGGGGAGCCCCTACCACCAGCTGCTGGGCTGTCTGCAGTCCATCCACCAGGAAGCATCGCTCTGAAGGGCGGCACGCCGAGGCAGACATGCAGACAGTCAGGCGCAGAGAGGAGGCCGAGGAGGCAAAGTGAATTAGAGAGATGAGTAATTGAATCTGCATGTTCGGCTCCCTGATAAATTGCGGTTGTGGGAACGAACAGGATGTTTATCCAACCTGAGCTACTGAAGCCTCATTTTTCTCTCCCCGCTTTCACCTTTGAAAGATGTAAACCGCTGAACCCACAAGAGCGAGCTCAGTGGCGATCGGGCGCGTAGAAATGAAGAATGAGACTTTAGGTCTGTTAAATGTACACGAGGCTGAATTCTGGAAGAGGAAGCCCCTGACTAGATGTGAAGGACGCGGGTTGACGCTCCAGCAGATTCCTCCCCCCACACAGCAGCACCTTTTTCTTTAAAAACAAACAGAAGATAATGTAAATCAAATACAAAACAGCTTTGTTTCTTTGCTCTTAGGACTTGCTTAAGTATTGTGATGTCAGTAAAGTTAAATAGAGACAAAGTATTTGCTATATTTAAAGTTTCGATGCATCTATTTTTCAGTGAATTTTGTTAAAAAGTGCTTAGTTGGGACTTTAAAAACGAGGGTCAGAGTTGTCTGCTTAACGTTGTTAAAAATTCTATATTTAAGTTGTTTGTGTTTATCAGACATGCGGAAGGCAAAAAGATAACTGGTTTTTATGAAATAATGCTAATCATTATGTCCTGCTCTCCCTCGCTCTCTCTATCGAAGCGGGGAACTGGAGGCGTACTTCTGACTGCAGAAAGTATAACTTAGTTCAGCAAGTTGCCATACCTACTCTGGATGGTTCATATAGAGTCAAAAAGTTAAACGGGTAAATGCCGGGCATAATTCAAGGTCGGGTTTTGTAAAAGTTGCATCATTTTAATAGTTTAAATCCCCCCAATTTACGTCATCAAACTGTTCAGTAAGGAAAAATACCAAAATTCTGTCTTGCCTTTTTTTTTAATCCAGTTGCAAGTGGGTGTAAAGAATTTCTTCTTATGATTTTATGAATTCACTAAAATCCATCAACTTTTTTTTTTTTAATTAAGTGCAGATCTGAATGATTCCACCCGTCCAATTACTTCTACCTTTTTAAGTCTCAGGATGTTGGTTGTGACTTTATTATTGTCATTAAACTGGAAGTAGTTTCCAGTCTTACATGGAGCTACCTTCTTATTATGTGTAAAAAAAAAAGAAAGATATATGTAAAAAAAAAAAAAAGAAAAAAAATCAACTGTACAGTAATCTGAAAGCCATGGTGCATGATAAAAAAAAATTAAGAACTATGTAAAGATGTGTGTCCACACTGTCTCAACACAGCACACAAAACATAATGTAAAAGTCAATGAATGCAGAAAACATACAAGCTTATTAAAGACTTCAAGCTGCCTGTGGCTGTGCTCTGTAGATACGCTTGCCTTAGACGAGACTCAACGTGTCCTGTCCACTGACTGCATGCTAACGTTACCGCGGTGTTTCATGTTGTGTTTTTGTGGATACCGCTGAGTGGAAGAGATGCAACACAATCCAAAGGGGACCTTAGAGGCCGACAGCAGCTTCGACAAATCAAAAGGAAAAGCGTAGCAATGCCGCATAAATAGTTTTCTTTATTTTTCGAGCTTTAAATATTTTGTCTTTGATATAAATATTACACCAATATCAACCACACACGACACTTGCAGTAAAAACTTGAAGTTGTGTACATGTTTGTTTGTTTTTCTCCCCCTTATGCACTTAATAAAAGATCCTAGCGATTTCCAACCTTGACAGCTATGACTGATTTCCTCTGGTCAAGTTAAAATAATGTATTCAGACGGTAAAGAAGTCTGCTGCAGCTGTTGGGTAAATTCGAATGCGAGGCCTCTCTAAAGGAGATTAATGCTGTGTATGTCCTGTTTTCAGTGTCCTTTTCAGCCTCTGGGGTTGTAAGAATGTAAATGATGTATTTTTATTCAAGACTACTCATTTCTAATGAAAGTATTAGGATAAACGTCGGTATGTTCTTTTATTCAGCTTGAATTTTGTTGTCTGACTTTTGTGTAAGAGGTGTAAAGGACCCCTGCAGGGTGGAAATGCGATTACCCAGAAATCTTTTCTGAGTTTGGTTTGTGGTCCGTGGATGAACCACACTTGATAAAAGTATGTCTTTTTTCAATTACTGCCTGAAGTCAAATCAGGCCAAACTTAAGTTAAGATTATCAAAATTCTTATTTGATTAACACCAAAATGTAGATTTATTTTTTTGTTTTGTTTTGTAGCTTTCTTCAAATTCAGAAGCTTTCATCTGTTTCCTTAGACTTTGGAAGAATAGTTTTAAAGGGGCGGTGTCATGTAAAATTGTTTTTCTTGAGCTTTGCATCATGTTATAATGCTCCAATCCAAAACGTACTCGGAGTGTTCCCTTGATTGATTATTTCATGCATGTTTGAGAAATCTTTTAATCTCCTGTGGCAATCATTCAACTGTGCAAAATGTGGATTATGTATTTAATGACCAGAGGCGGTGGACCCAACACCGCCTTTGAAGTACAGCTCCTTTTTTGAGCTGCAGTTTCCTACTTCCCAGGGTCTGCAACTCCCCCACTCAGCTACTTCAAACTAGCCAGCAGGAATTAGCAAACACCAAGCGGAGGTGATTGTATGAGCGACTTCTCAGTTCAATGCTTGTAAAAACATTGAGAGTTTATAGAGGATCTATGTTGTGATGACTTCTTGAAGGCAGAGTTTCAGAAAGAGGAGTTTTTAAAGAGACAGAGCCCCAATTTCAGGTGTTAAATCACAAAGTCAAATTTCTTTTAAGTCATATTTGACATATATATAGCATTTAACATAGTTGATTATGACATATAATGGTGCCATGTGCTTGGAAAATACATAATACTGCTCCTTTAATCTCCAAGACTTGGGTCGAACATTTTTGTTTGTCCTACAAACTTCTCAACAGATTGCAGAAATTTTGGCCCATCAATTGATGCATTACACACGCACACTCATACCTTGTAGTTTTCATTTTTAATTATTTGGATTGAAATCGGGTCTTAGCATAACATTTGTGGAGTTTGTAGAAACTATGACTCAATGTCTTCCAATTCAGCTTTCTCTTGGTCATTAAATACATAATCCACGTCTTTATAAATTTATTTCAGGTCCCAGGGAAACTATTAACATGACCTATCACATTAATGTGTGATAGGTCATACATTTTTGTCACTCTTATAACGTTGAGAAAATATATAGCCATGTTTTTCACTCATGTTAGAGAGGGAATAAATGTCTTAAGCTGAGCTCGCTAGAAAAATTACATGTTTGCTATATAAATTAAAGGATTTTTTTAAAAAATCCATTAATTATGCCCACTTTAAATTTCCAATCAAGTGATGCTTATTTATTTTCTTTATATTTAGCACACTTTCCTGCTACTCATTCAAAGAAAAAGTATGGAAATGTCCTCCTGTTTTACTGCACCCGTTAAAATGGGTGGTTTGATTAAAAGGTATTAGCAGGATTACCAGGAAGTTGCCATATGGTCTGTGAGTTGTTGTCATGATGTGCATAAATGTTGCCAGTGGGACACAAAAGGGTTTGTGTCAAAAGTCTAAGACCAAAGTGCAGCTTGTTGAGGTCAATATTGCAACCTTTTAAGGCTCAATCTTACATCAAGAACTGAGCCAGGCAAAAATGGACATTGAGAAAAAAAATCTGACCCAGATTGCTTGATGAGAGCCGTTCATTTTTACACACACACACACACACACACACACACACACACACACACACACACACACACACACACACACACACACACACACACACACACACACCCATGTGTATATTATATATATATATATTGTCAAACTAGTTCAGTTTGGTTGTCTAGGTCCACACTGCTAATTGCTACCCTATGAAATCTATAATTGACAAGTAATTACATTAAAAAAAGGAAAACATTATAGAGGGGGATATTTCAATATTATTTCCATTCAAGATTTTTGCAACAAAAGTGCAAGTCTACTGAAAAATCAATGCACTACAAAGTACATGAACTGAGTAGTTGGTTGGGTCCTGGTATGTACCATCAGCAGTCTCTAACAAGCACTATTCAACATGCTAGAAAGTAAAACACTGGAACGACTGGGAAATGGATCAGTTTGATTCAGAAAGTCTCTTGTGCAATATAAAATGTTATTAAAGACCAAATCTGGCCTGCATAGAAACCAGTGAACAGAAAGTCATCCTGCCAATGTCCTTGCTTTAGTCCTTGCTTTAGTCGGGGGTCCCAACACGTCTGCACGCCCTTTTCCTCGCTGCCCACTCTGAACACACCTCCTCCCAAACCTCCTCCTCCTCCTCTTGTGAGGCCACTTCGCCAGATGGTGTAGTCTTTTTCTTTTGTTTACCCATCGCCTCAGAGTTTACCTAACAAACCTTAGCGACAGAACCACGGGATGTCTCCGAGCAGCATGACCGCTGGACACAGACACGTAAGTCTCGTTTTAAACCAACGCGTGAGTGAACCCGCTGGTGCAAATGTATTTGTCAGAACATTAAGGGAGGAAGAAAAAAAAAACTGCATGCACCTCTTTAACTTGGCCATCCCGACTCAGACGGTTTTTTTTTTTTATAACCCCAGCTGTTCTCGTTACTGTAGAGTAAATTTCCCCCCACTCTGCTTTCTAAATAAAGACGCGACACAATGACACAAAAGCGCAGCTCCTGGAGAGCGAGGCTGGCGGGGTTTTGACACCTGTGGAATCCGTTACCGTTAGAAGTTTTAACTCGTGATTTCTCAGGCTAACTTCTCGGGGGAAGACGGTTTATCAGCGCGAGCGCGTTGAAAGGCAGCCGGGGACAGCCAATGACGGAGCGGGAAGGATCTGTGTACACGTGCGTTGCCGCGGCAACAAACCGACATTCCAAAGTTGTGGAACAAAAAGAGGCGGGACCTCGAGCTTCCAGCACGGGTGGGTGAACGCCACGGTTGGACTGCAGGCAACTGAACGGGAAGGAGGAAAGTTTTTGAAACTAACGCGAGAGAATTTAAAAAAGCCGTGCGAGTGAAGTCACGACAACAATTTGTCTCGCCTGTAGCCGTTTACGGCTGTAGTTTTATTCTACTTGAATGCTCAGCTGATGAAGTCAACGTGCTCGAGCTGCCTAACATAAACTAAGCAATCAGACTTCAAAAGCTGAACCGGAAGTTTTAAAAAAACTAGCCTGACGTCGTCACAGAACTCCTAGGTTTACCTGGAGTTCAGTCTCCTCCTATCACCACTATCTCTAAATATAAGTAAACAGTTATTACACTCATCCTCTGTAGATGAATGGAGTAATTACAGTTCGTCTATATGAATCTGAATATATGAATGCTTGGCCTAAAATGCTAATTTATTTAGTTGTGGCTTACATCTGATAAAATGTGCATGCACATCTACTTACACAGGCATACTATTTAAAAATAGCAAAGGATTATATCAAGAAATGTATAAAATTTTAATAAAATACAGAACATTTTTTTAGATGCACTTCTATTATGAAATACTGAAAATAATCTCATGACTGAATTCTTTGTTCTCCTCCTCTGCTTCAGGTGTCTTTCGCCAGGAGGAAGGACTGACATCATGATGGGACCACTCACAAAGCCGTGTTAAAGCTTGAGTCTTGCTTCTCACCCATGTGCTGCATTCTGAGCTGCTGCTCATCTTTTCATAGCAGCCCAGCTGTTAAGACATTGAATGTGTCTCAAACCAAGGATGTGAAATGATCAATTGAAACCCCGTCCGATCAATGGAAAAGAGAAGGTTTCCTGGCACAATGTCCAGGCAGGTGGATTCGTCGTCCAAGAGACGCCCCTGTGCTGGAAGTGGGCTGACGTTCCCTCAGCCTCCCCAGCTCGCGTCCACCGTCCAGTATGGCCGCATTCAGGCTGTGGAGGTTGCGAGAGGAAGAACAGGGTACGGCTTCACGCTGACAGGCCAAAGTCCTTGTGTCCTCAGCTGCATCCTTAAAGGAAGTCCTGCAGACTACGTGGGGCTGCGCTCAGGAGACTGCATCCTTTCTGTCAATGACATAAATGTCTCCAAGGCATCGCACGAAGATGTCGTCAAACTGATTGGACGTTGCTCTGGCATTTTAAAGCTGGTCATTGCTGAGGGCGAGCGCCACCGGCGCCACCCTCAACGGGCCGCCGGCAGTCGCCATCACAGCAGTAATGCGATGACGGCAACCTACCTGGATTCCTGCTCCAGTGATGACGAGCTGGATGTCTTTTACAATAATGGTGTGGGCAACAATAATGGCCGGTCAGGCTGTGGAACAAAAGGAGGCTGGTACAAGCCCAAACTGGATTCCAAGCAGCTTGGCATCAACAGAGCAGAGAAGGTGGTGGCCGAGTTGCAATCTGGAGGAATCTTCAACATGATCTTTGAAAATTCCAGCCACTCCTCCAGCAGCTCGGACAAGGACAGGCCCGGGGTGAGCTCATCCTCAAAGCCGCGTCAGATGTCCGATCCGGAATTCAACCCTTACCGCAATGCCTCCTGTACCCAGAGCAACCCCAACCTGCTCTCTGAGGAGGAGATGGCCCAGGTGCTGAATGATGACTCTGTCTTCCTGGAGTCCGACTTCCGTCACCTCCACATTCACCACCACGAAGAGCAAGATATGGATGTTGGAGAAGGTGCTGACTTTGGTCTTGAGCCCAGCGAGGGAATCCTTAACGTTGGGATGATTGTTGGGTATCTCGGCTCCATCGAGCTCGCCTCAACAGGAACCAACCTGGAGAATGACAGTCTGCAAGCCATCAGAGGGAGCATGAGGCGCCTCAGGGCCGAGCAGAAGATTCATTCATTGGTCCTCATGAAGGTGGACTTGACTCTTCTAGTTATCTGCCTTAGATACATTTTTAATTGTTTTTTTTTTCCACTTGTTGCATAAAACCTCAAGGAAAAAAGAGTTGTATTTACATATTTGACTTTGCTGTAGACTTTCTCTGCTCAAAACCAGCTTGAAATTGTACATACAGGCTCCAATACAGACATATATTCTCATTAGCAATTAAATGAATGTCCCTTAGCAGGTTGATGAGAAACTAAACTATTTTTGTTGCTGCACAGTCAGCTGTGTCCACGTTTCAACTATCTGATTAAAGCCGTCATCTTCAGTTGGAAAAAGATTGATTAAAATGTTCTCAAGCAAAAAAAAAAAAAAAAGACTCAAGGCTGTAACCTATCATACATTAGAATATGCTGGTTAACCAGCGTCATCGTCCACAGTTAAGCAAGTGATTCGGGTAGCTGCATTGGTCTGCAGGCGTCTGCATGGACCTGCACACAGTATTGAGCTTCTGTAGGATGATGAATGTGATGATAGTTGGTGTTGACAAGAAAGAAATGCACAAAAAAATTCAAACCCATTTCTAATTTTTAAGTGCTTTTCCTGCTTGGAAAAGGAATGACTCTTGAAAGCCTAAATGAATTTACATGAGTGAAATTATTTTAGTTCTATAAAAATTCGTTTGCCCATTACCTTTAAAGGGTTGAGGTGAATCAGACAATTATTTCTGTTTGTATATAAAACCTAAATGGCTAACTGAAACAAGGTGTTTTTTAACTACACTTTGTAAATGTGTGAACTTCGTTTGTTTACACGGCAGTAAAATGAATACATTACATCCTAACAGGTCATGCATGACAGCGTACTCCTGTGCAGCGACAGAGGTCAGGTCTTGGCCACCTACCCTGCAGAAAAACTCGCCTTCAGCGCCTGTTGTCCTGATGATCGGCGATTCTTCGGACTGGTAACCATGCAAGCCACGGACGACCACGACGATCGCCACTTCAGCAACGGGCGAGACGACGAAGGGAGTTTAAGGACATCATGTCACGTGTTCATCGTGGATCCAGAACTATGTCATCACCAGGTAATTCAGTGATGCTGAAGTATTTTTGACCATGGACAATGCTTTTACATTTTAAACTAAAGAAGGGCTGCTAAATAATATCAGTGTAAGAATGTCTTTAAAGACCGTCCATTTTCTACGCTTATCTGGTGTCTCGTCATTGGGTAGCAGCCCAAGTAGGGAGGCCATACTTCCCTCTTCTGTGGAGGAATCTTAAGGTTCTTAAAGATCTACAAGAAGATCTACAATATCAAAACAGTACTTTGGAGAAGTACTCACTCGCCTCTTGAACATTTTCACATTGTGTTGCAATACATCACTTTGATGTGAAACAGGAACACAAAGCAGTACATAACTGCAGCAAAGGGAAATGAGGCAGGGTTTACACAGAGTTTAACAAAGAAATATCTGAAAAAGAAGATGAGTTTGTAACTGCTTTTAGCTGTAAGTGTTCTGGGCCAGAATGAAACTTTTAACATTGTCGTGTAAAACTTACATCAGGCACTCTTCAGTTAGAAAGAGTGCCTGACGAGGACTTCAGGCACTTCTAACTGAAGAGTGGCTGTGTACGTCAATTTTCAGGTCTGCACTCTTGTTTGGATTTTGGACTGGAGCTGGGTAAAGATAGAGTTGTTTTTTTAATGGTAGAAGGTGAACGTTTCACTCTCGGTTTTGTCTCAGTGTTGTTCGTTCCACGTAAAGTTCCGCATGCCAAGAAGTTCAATTTTGGACTCATCTGAACTGAGTCTGAGCACCTTTTCCTCATCTGCTGGGCTCCTTAAATGGCTTGTTGCAAACTGCAAACCTAGTGTCATGTGACTTAACAAATGCTTTCTCCTTGCTACAAAGTCATGACTCCAATACTTTATTTTTATTTATACATCTATTTTTTTTTTAAATCTTCCTTCCATCACATTTATTTCATCTGTCAGATGATAGCACGTGGTTTTAATGTGAAAGAAATATTTGTACTTAAGCAAATCTATAAAATATTTATGTAATCTATACAATAAAGATTACATAAATGTCCCAATGCCCAAAAATCCATGAAGCTTGAGATGTTTTCTGGGACGTTAATAACCAGTGCCTGTAAGTGTAAGTACTGAGCATTGTGTCTGTCGTATGGACAGGTCCATTTAGGGGTGGCCAGGAGGTTTGGCTTTGAGTGCACCCCCGACCCAGACACAGGAGGCTGCCTGGAGTTCCCGCCCAGTTCTCAGCCGCTACTCCAGTTTGTTTCTGTCCTCTACCGAGACATGGGGGATAACATCGAGGGGGTCCGGGCCCGCGCCTTCCACGATCCAGACAACGACGCCCAACAGAACCACAGCACCAGCAGCAACAGCGATAGTGGAATCGGCAACTTTTTACCCGAGGAGAAGAGCAACCGAGTCCTTTTGGTGGATCTCGGGGGCCCTCCCAGTCACAACCACATGTCTGGGGCCCGCCAGTGGGACAGCCCGCCCTCCTCTCAGCAGGCCTGGAGCCCCATCCTTGGAGCCGCCGCCTCCCACCCCCTCCACCTCCCCCTCCTCCTCCGATGCTGAGAAACGGTCACTACCTCCACGACCCGCACCTCGCTGACCTCCCTCACCCTCTCCCGCTGGCTCACCCTGACCTGCCAAGCAGACTCTCACAAGGACTCAATGTGCATCACTACCCGGCGAGGAAGCTGGGTGGAGCTATGGGGGGAGGAGACAGAAGAGGAGGAGGAGTAGGAGTAGAGCCTCAGAGGTGGCTGCCAGTCCATGTGCTGAGAGACTGGCGTCAGCAGCACCAGCACCACCACAGCCACTTTCAGGGTCTGAGCAGCGATCAAGAGTCATACGCCGAGTCCACTGACGGATGGTCATCAGCCAACTGCAGCACCCTGCCCCCACCCATGAATAAGATCCCTGCCGACCGCTACCGGGCCCCGCTGGCCCCAGGGGACCGCATGCACCCACCTGGTGTCAGTCATCCACCATCTCCTCCTCCTCCTCCCCCTCCTGCACATCTCCACAGCCACCGGCTGGCTGCTCAGAAAGACGAGTGGGCCAAGAAACTGTTCGGCGCCGGAGACCGGGAGCGCAATGGAGCACAGCGAGCCGAAAGAGAGAAAAAACGAGAGGTGAACTCAAAGGAGGGAGAGAAAAAGGTACGTCTTTAATCAAGCTAGTAAAATAGAAAATATCAGCACAAGTCAGACTTTTATCACTTTTCCTGCTCGCATTTCATTCAGTTTATTTCACAAGTATCAACCGGAGACAAATTTTCTTTGAACAGAGTCAGTTTTTGAACATTGCGATAGTTGTGTTAAAAGTGACTGTGAGATGAGAAAGCCTGGTCACAGGTCGCTCCCCCACATCACACATTCCTGTCGTGGAAATTTACTATGTCTAGAGAGCGTTCAAGGCTGCATATTATTGAGACTATAAATTCATGCCGCTCACTCTGCATTTTCCGTCCTCTTCTCACACCACACACTAAATGTCGCATCTTTTTCTCAGACATTAAAAGTCTCGATTTAAAAATGCTACTTTTACCTCAGAAAATAGGCTTATAGCAGCACATAATGGTGGCTTAGTTGCCAGACTTGGTAAAAGTGGATGGATAAGTTATTTATCCTCTGTGCTCCTGTATCAGATCATGAATTATGCACTAAGCAGACATCTGTTATCACCTGAAAACCACCTGTCTTCTGCAATCGAGCAGATTTGTCAAAGTGATAGAATTTCAAATTATGCAATTTCATTAAGCTAAATTTGCTGACTTTTTATATGTTTTTGTACAAAAGGAAGAAGAAGCAGAAAAAGACACAACTATCCAGTTGGACTATGCCCCATAATCTCACCTCCTGCCTGTAAAGATGCTTAGGCAGAATGTTTCCATGTACTTTCATGTTCAGAAATACATAAACCCTCTATTACTTTCTTTGATTTTACCAGAACACAGTGTGTGGTAAAAATATTAATACTTTTGAATTTGTACAACTCTGCTATCTTTTACTGACAGATGGCAGTTTATCTGAAAGACAAATACAAAGTAACACACAGATTGAGAAAGATAAGGGAATTAATGCAAATGTATTTTCAAACAAAATCTAAAAAGTGAGTCGATATTTTGTGAAGTCTTTTGTTTCATGTCTTTACCAGATTTGCACATCCAAAGTCCAAAATTGTGTTTATTCTTCTTTGCCAAATGGCTAAAGCTCAGTCAGATAGTGTATGTAATCCTCTTTTGTCAAATCTAGTTGCAGATTATTATATCTGAACTTTCACTACGCCATTGAATACACGACTCTATCACAGCCTCCAACAAATTTTCTTCCTTTAATACCCTGTCTGTAGCTCCATTCATCTTTTCATCAACTCTGATCAGTTTCAGTGTCCTTGCTTTTCCCCTCAGCATTATGCTGCCCCAACCATGTTTGACCATGGAGATGAAAGTATTAATAATCACATTATGTGCTCAAATAAATAAAAAATAAAAAAATCACATTATGGAGTCCACAAAAAAAAAAGCAATACAAATAAAACACCAACACCCAGAGATTCATTTGATCTAGAGACTCATGTTTAGTTGCAATAACATTTGATTTCTGATACAGTGTCATTTCTTCTTCAGGCTTGCTTTTGTTCAAGAATGTTTGTTTGCTTTCTTAGTGTCCTGCTATGTCATGTGAAACACTTTGAGGTGTTGGTTTTAGGTCATGAAAACACTTTGATAGTTTTATTTTTGTCATCAGGTTATACAATTACTGCTGCTGTGCTTGGAATCGTTGTTTTCTTGCATGGCAGCATTTAGTCTGACCTTCAACTGTGGCACAGTTTGATATGCACTCGAGTTCATGGACTTATCCCAGTCCTAAGAAACCATTTTGGCTCAGGCTTTTGCCGATGGTATTGATGTGAAATTTTAACTTTCAGCATGACCCCAGGCAGTCTCTGGATTTTCTGAAAACACACCATGGCAGCTTGAGGAAAATTTGTAGGGGTGCTTTGAGTATTGAGTATTGCAATCATTTAGAGTTGCATACATTATTCGTGTGTGATTTCTACAGTTCTGTTATCTGTTTATTTTTGTAGTTTTGCTTGACTCACAGACTGCAAAAATTTATAACAAACAACGGCTACATTTAGTAGCATTATTCAAATGCCTGTTGAACTGATATTTACCTCTGTCTTTCTCTTTAATGGAGAGCAACAGGTGGAGGGAATGGCAGGCTGTCTTTGAAAGCTAATATCATTGCTCCACTTTTTCTGGCTTCTTATTAAAAGCATATTAAATAAATTGAACTTGGACAGTATTTCTGCTAGTGAAATATCCCATTTTTAAAAAATCTTGTCAGGCTTGCCTATAAGCTCGATTGCTACTTTGATTGCAAAATGGTAAGCTTTTTTTTTTTTTACCATGTTTTTTTTTTTTTTTTAACCACTCCTTGCCCCTTAAAGTTAAATGTAGGACAAATCCTACATTTCCATTAAAACCAAGAGAAGCTGATAATTCTCATCTTTAAGCTGATTGGTTGGGAGGGATCCTGGGAGTGGGGACAATCTGAGGAAGTGTTAACAATACCAAGGCGAAGTATAGAAACTGATAAGAGCAGGAAGATAGACGTTAACCTTTCTGAACAATGCCCTCAGACTGAACTGGTAAAGAAGCCGTGATGTTTTCAGAATAAAGTCCTCATCCTTCTGTGGCTCAATACTCTCTGGTATTAATGAAACCAGATTTATCATACTGATTCACTAATTAATAGAGAGCGTTTGCTTGTAGCTGTCTGTCTCTTAATGTTTGCTCTTTGTTTAACACATGGTGGCACTGTCTCTCTTTTTCTGCTGGCTTCCTGCACACCCAACAACTTTCCTGTTTATCCTTCAAGGTCCGTTAACAGTGAAACATGGTCATGTTTGAAGATCACGCACGACTGAAGTCTAAATAGCCTCAATTTGTGTTTGTTTCACTTCAACAAAGTTTTGCAAGTGAAAAGCCACATGCCATGCTTGTGGCATGACTTAAATTTGACCGCTGGTAATACTGATTCAAAGAACTGATCTGAATGTTTCTGAAACAATCAATAGTTATTCAATGAATTGGTTTTGCAATTTGGTTATTCATTTCTAAATTGTCAGATACATCCTGAGTCATAAAAAAGTGTTAAACATACTCATAATGATTGTGTTTTAATGGGGTAGCTGTTAACCTAACTTGCTGCAATCATTTTTAGATTTTATGTGGAGTATTTTGCTACAAATTTTCCTCAGAAACTTTCTCTTTTTTTTTTTAACAAAAAAAAAGAGAAAGAGTCTCCTGTCTCCTGTGCCAACCAAAACAACCCCTGCTCTCTACCACTTATCTTCTTAACCCCAGTTTGTGCTTCTCCTTTAAATGTCTTTGGATTTTTTTTTATCTTGTATTCATGTAAGACTAATTGGGTTAAAAACAAACAAAAAAAAAGGTCACGTCAGAGTGTTTGCGCCTACGCATTTAATCAAGCGTTTGAATCTTCATTATCTGAATGTGCGCGGAAACGCACACACGCACAGATGTAGGGTTGACTCGGTATCCAGGCAACACCACTGGCGATGCCTGATGAAATGCAGCGACCGCCTCCTAAACAGGCGGTTTGATTCAGCTCGCGTCTGTCCTCTCAAACCTGTCAGCGTCTTTTAATTACGTATCTCCTGCTATCACCCGGGGCCCACTCCGCTATGCTGTCTCCTATAGTGCGAGGATATAAGGCAGATGTTACTTGTGGAAGTTCAGAGACATGACAGGTCATTTCTGTGCTTCTGCACTGACAAATGCAACAGTTGTCAGTGTGACACTTGATTAGTACCTGTCTCCTCTGATTTACAGCAGTCCTCAGTGACATGACGTCACTGTTAAATGGCTTCAGATAGTAAATGTTCTTTCCCCTGTGACTGATGCTCCCAGGTGAGGCAGTTTATGGCAGCAACTTTCTGCACGGATTTTGGGCTCTAATTCCAATGAGCTGTTTTCCAGGCCAGTACCTCTGCAAACATCGTAATGTTTTAATGTTTTTAGCATGCTCCACTTCTTTATTCATCGTATCGCCAAACACAGACATAGACTGTGAAAAGATGTAGCCGTTTTGATCTTTTTGTGCAACATGCTTTGCATCATTGGATTTGGATTGTGGGATTGATTTAACAGCTGTCACAGAAGGCACACAGAAGTACTTTATATGCCTGCATGTGCCATGAGGAATGTAACATGTAGGTGAAAAAATGTGCTCAAAACATACAGAAGCAGACACATTTGTTGGTACCTTTCTCCTGAAATATCAATCTATTAAACAGTCAGTCATGTAATACCAATTAGCTAAGCCTAGGGAGCCTGTGCTGCTCTGATTCGGAAGGTAAACATGGATGAAATAATTACTAATCAACATATAAATAAGCAGTTGTTCAGCTTCATTGTGTTTATTTCGTAAGTCAAAACTGTCATTCAGGAATGAGAATGAGAATGTTCTGTAGTTTCAAGTTCCAATACAAGTTGGATTTGTAAATTAATACGGCCAATCTATATTTTTGAAAATTTAATATGGCTGCCTTACATGCATGCAACCTTTGCAATAATTACAATAAAAATTGGAGTAATTATTGTAATTATTGCAAAGGTTGCATGTAAGGCAGCCATATTAAATTTTCAAATGAGGATTGTGTACTTCCTCCACACTACAGGCAGCAGAAAACACCTGGTGGAACTGAAAGTCTGCTGAGCTCATGCTGCAAAGGAACGGCTTCATGAAGATTAATTTGACATGCTAAAGGGGAATATCAGAAAGGGTCTTCTTAAATAAAATATCAAGGCATTAAATACGGCTATATTTCCTCTTAGTTATTTTTGATATGTACAGCATTTTTATAAAAACTGAAGCCAAAACTTGATTGTGCTATAAAATGCCACACTGGAATGTGCCTGGAAAATGGAAATCACTCCTTCCAATTATCCAAATATAATTTTACATTTTATTCTTGTTTAAATTGAAATAGTAGCAAAAAAAATTTACCCTCATGTGTAACAAATTATATTTCTGAGTGAAGTCGTCCAAGCTATCCACCTGTGTGGAGACGGAGCCTTTTCGGCTCCATGTTCTAACCCCGGGAACAATCTCCCTGTTTCCATGAGATCTTTTAAAGACTTACCTTTTCAAGATGACTTTTAATTCCACAAATCCCTGACCCTTTCTTCTTTTATATTTTCTTTTACTGCCGATTATATTGTTTATTGTTAACTTTGTATTTTCTGATTGACCTGTACAACATTTTGGTTGCCTTTTTGTTTTTAAAGCACTTTATAAATAAGTGAATGATTTGGTCATGTAAAAACAGTCAACCTGCTATGTATTTGTCTTTTATTTTTGTTCATGCTTTTGCAACATAATTTATTGGGATTAGCAACATTTCTCTATTTCAAATTTTTTCATCCAGTCAAACATGTCTAGTTGGCCTGCATACTTATTACCAGGTCAACTGAAAAACAGCTTGTGATTCATTACCAATTGATAATTGGTAATTATTTGGAAAAATAGCTTGACGCTAAAGACAAAAAGATTTTTTTACGTGGTACTTGAAGAAACTTAAATTGTCCTTTTTTCAAGACTCTGAAATCATTAATAATTTCTTTCTTTGTTAAAATATTAAAAAAGGCCTCTTACCACTGGTTCTTATTCACCCTCCTATGATCTCCTGCGGTTTGTCATTATTTGACAAACAGCTGTTTATTGTGACCTCTGTTATAGCACATAAACTGAACTTAATTTTATTGTCTTGGCTCTAGGGCGGTCGGTTTCGCGGCTTGACGATGGGGTTCCCTCCTCTGCCGCAGCGCTCCTCAGCCAGACGGTCCTTTGGGCGCTCCAAACGCCTCAGCATGGCCCGCTCCCTGGACAACTTGGAGGTGAGCAACATTCACACTCACACAAACTTTGTGTTTGGGTATTTTTTTTGTTTGTTTGTTTGTTTTTTTGCTAGACAGTGAACGCTAACATAGAAAGAGTAAACATAATAAAAGCTAACAAAATCTGTCAGTGAAAGAAAAGCATTCAGCATTGCTTTTTTGCGACAGAATGACACTAAGTTTGGTTGCTGAAGAATTTGTATAGATGTTTAGAAACAAATTATCCAAGAAGATAGTCTTTTTCTTTTCCGGTGATTGGACCTTCCAGTTTGCGTTCTTAGATTAAAAAGGCCTCTCCCTCATGAAGTCTTCTTGGTGCTCAGCAATGTCTTCTCAGGACATCATTACTACTATCGGAAAACTGATGGTTTCAATTAAACACTTAAATCCCCTCCCTGCTTTATCATGTACGGAAATTGAGTTTCACTCTGTATTGTCCCTCAAATTGTTGGATAATGTTCAGAAAATTTAGAAAGTATCCAGTGAGCTCTTGCTACGTTAGCGAGAAGGACTTGTTGATGTCAAAGGTCGGAGAGGAATGAGCAGTCTGGTTTGAAATGTTAGGAATCAATCGTTTGAATCAGTTGTTTTCCTCGTATTCTAGTCACTGATCTTATTGGTATTTAGATCCTTAAAGTTTGAAATCTCATCTGAAGCTTCATTTAGTTTCAACTGACGCCAAGGAAAAAACCCTACATTGGTTTCCAGCTTTAGTTATGGGTCTGAAATAAATAATGTGACAAACTGAATTACCGGACTTGAACTTAGACACTGGATCACGTGTGCAACTCGACTCAGCGTTATATGGCTCTACTGTCACAGAAATGATTATTTTTCTCCTTTTTTATCTTCAAGAAATGACCTGGAGTACAGTCATTTGAGAACCATGAGATATCCCTAACAATGTGCCTATTTAGATCTTGTTTCATAAAGTTAAGATTTGACCTGTGTATTTTGGTACTCAGATGGTGAGATAGACATTGCTACTATTAGATTAATCTGTTTTGATTTTCCATTGAATTATTTTTTTCTAAAATATAACTATAAGACTAATACTGAACTAAGAGCATAAATTGCAGTGTTGTTGTCACAAAGTCTTATCTGTGTGTTTATGTCTGAAGGAGAGTCTTGCCATCTGAGGCTCTTTTCATAACAGTTGCTTTGGCCCCGAGATAGAAATCAGAGCACAGTTAAATGCTTCCTCTGTTTAGTGGTGTGGGGGGGCACCCTGGGAGCAGACAAGTCAAACTCACCACGGCTGCTTCAGTTGTGACGTTTTTATTTTTTTTCCATACATTTTTGTCATTCTTTGGTTGACTGCAACAGGAAATTAAGTGCCAGAAGGAGGGCTAAAACCTGTGTTGAGGCAAACTTGGAGGTGTGTCTCATATTCAAAACTGGATAGCATTTGGAAATAGTTTTTCAGACTTTCTATTCTGGATTTTACCAGGGGTGTTTACACTTTTGAGAAAAAGATTGGGTCTTCTTCAGAGAAGCTTTTATTTATTTCTGCTCAGCTTTAACGTACATTGTACTACTTCTTTTTGTAAAGAATTTGTTAAAAGTAAGCTGTTTGAGAGTCTACTGTGAAAAGATTTCACAAATTACTTGCAGAGGCTAACAGTCAGATGGTGACATGTAAGGAAGCGCAGCAGCTCTACAGTTACACAGGTTATTGCGAATATTTGACCTCAACCTCAAGCCTATTTGTTTTGTACGCTGTTGCCAAATTTTAGATTATTTTATCCCCTTTGTGTCACCGTTATCAGCTCTGTTGGAAACATTCAATTCTGCAAGGTTAAACTGCACATAGTTTGCTTGAGTTTTAGATCTCCCATCGTCATCCTACGTCAAAGTGATTTTTTTTTCTTCTTAGCTCTTCCTGCTGCATCTATTCTACTTCTTTTCTTCCTGCTGTTAGGCCTTTTTCTCTTGCTGCACATGCGGTAATATTCACAAACAGAGAGAGCTTTGTGCTGTGTATGGGGGCTGGGGGGTTGGTTTTGTGTGTGTATTTGTGTGGTGATTGTGGTGGGGGGTAAATGGGTTCTAAGTGTTGGCTCGCTCTTCTAACGAGCTCCGATGAGCAACAAGCTGGCATTCAGCTCATTAGTGAGGAACTGACACAGAAAGTACAGAGGGTATGTGGATCCACGTCCATATACAGTTAAGGCCAGAAATATTTGGACAGTGACACAGGTTTTGTTATTTTAGCTGTTGACAAAAATATGTTCAGAAATACAATTTATATATAGTATGGGCTGAAAGTGCACACTCCCAGCTGCAATATGAGAGTTTCCACATCCAAATCGGAGAAAGGGTTTAGGAATCATAGCTCTGTAATGCAGAGCCTCCTCTTTTTCAAGGGACCAAAAGTAATTGGACAATGGACTCCAAAGGCTGCAAGTAACTCAAAAGGCCTTTCCCTCGTTAACCTGTAATCAAGTAAGTAGTTAAAAGGTCTGGGGTTGTTTCCAGGTGTGTGGTTTTGCATTTGGAAGCTGTTGCTGTGACCAGACAACATGCGGTCAAAGGAGCTCTCAATTGACGTGAAGCAGAACATCCTGAGGCTGAAAAAAAGGAAAAAAATTCATCAGAGAGATGGCAGACATGCTTGGAGTAGCAAAATCAACAGTCTGGTACATTCTGAGGAAAAAGGAATTGACTGGTGAGCTTGGGAACTCAAAAATGCCTGGGCGTCCACGGAAGACAACGGTGGTGGATGATCGCCGCATACTTTCTTTGGTGAAGAAGAACCCGTTCACAACATCAACTGAGGTCCAGAACACTCTCAGAGAAGTAGGTGTATCTGTCTCTAAGTCAACAGTAAAGAGAAGACTCCATGAAAGCAAATACAAAGGGTTCACATGTAGATGCAAACCATTCATCAATTCCAAAAGTAGACAGGCCAGAGTTAAATTTGCCCAAAAACACCTCAAGAAGCCAGCCCAGTTCTGGAAAAGTATTCTATGGACAGATGAGACAAAGATCAACCTGTACCAGAATGATGGGAAGAAAAAAGTTTGGAGAAGAAAGGGAATGGCACATGATCCAAGGCACACCACATCCTCTGTAAAACATGGGGAGGCAACGTGATGGCATGGGCATGCATGGCTTTCAATGGCACTGGGTCACTTGTGTTTATTGATGACATAACAGCAGACAAGAGTAGCCGGATGAATTCTGAAGTGTACCGGGATATACTGTCAGCCCAGATTCAGCCAAATGCTGCAAAGTTGATCGGACGGCGCTTCACAGTACAGATGGATAATGACCCCAAGCATACAGCCAAAGCTACCCAGGAGTTCATGAGAGCAAAAAGGTGGAATATTCTGCAATGGCCAAGTCAATCACCAGATCTTAACCCAATTGAGCATGCACTTGCTCAAATCCAGACTTCAGACGGAAAGACCCACTAACAAGCAAGACCTGAAGGCTGCGGCTGTAAAGGGCTGGCAAAGCATTAAGAAGGAGGAAACCCAGCGTTTGGTGATGTCCATGGGTTCCAGACTTAAGGCAGTGATTGCCTCCAAAGGATTCGCAACAAAATATTGAGAAAAAACTTTTTGTTTGGGTTATGTTTATATGTCCAATTACTTTTAAGCTCCTAAAATGTGGAGTGTTTGTAAACAAATGTGTACAATTCCTACATTTTCTATCACATATTTTGTTCAACCCTTTAAATTAAACGTTACAATCTGCACTTGAATTCTGTTGTAGAGGTTTCATTTCAAATTCAATGCGGTGGCATGCAGAGCCCAACTCACAAATATTGTGTTACTGTCCAAATATTTCTGGCCCTAACTGTATGCACACATTTAGAAGCTTTCAGATGTGATGGTGAAATTATTTTATTAGGAACTGTCTGACAACATAAAACAGGATAAAATACGTCAACAAGCCACACATCACGTGCTAAAGAAATACAAGAACAGATCAGATACAAAGTCACTGACCTCTATTTGGAAAGGGTAACAAATAGAGCTGCATCAATCCGATAATATCGGTATCGGCACCAGTATTGAAAAAACATTCTAGATTGTCATTAATGTCATGGGTGACTTTGGGGAAATTATTCTGTGAACTGATGAGCTAATAAGGCAAAATATGTGCAATCTGTTACATTGTCGAATGTGTAAATATTCTAGTGTGTTTCTGTTATGTTTGATTTTTTTCATGTTATATTTAATTATTTCATTCTGTTTTTACTTCAGACTTAACTGTGCCTTAATTTTACTGTTCAACGTAAGTACACTGTCAAGGCCAACTTCCTAAACATCAACACACCAAAGCCAAACCCCCCCAAAAAAGAGAGTTGCCAAGCCACAGTCCAGACTTTATTGAAACAAAATGCTGCAGCAAGACTTTGAACAGGTTGTTCATATCTCCCAAAGCATTTAATTTGATTGACTTAACTTGCAAAGAAGAGGGTGGCCACCAGGTTTGACATAACCAGTTATTAGGTTTAGGTAGCAATAATTTTTTTTATGTACAGCAATGTTGGTTTGGGTGGCTTTTACCTTCCCCAAGTTTATGAAAACATCACTTGAAAACTTCATTCTGTATTAATTTTGTCAGATTTTTTTTAACAGACTTTGAGTTATTTCATTGGGATGAAAAAGAAAGTAAAGGATAAATACATTAGAGTGCAAATATTGCGCCTCACCAATACAACATATCCATCCCCTTTCAGGCAGCTAATTAAATTAACTTTTTCAAAGGGCAACATGACAAATAACAAAAACAACAAAAAATGTTCATGTGCTTGATATAAAACTTGTGCTGAATTGGTCCCACGTGTGTTAAGTTTTCACACAAGGAAGACTGGCAAATAACATTAAGCAATACTAATCACTCAGAGGTCAAATGCGCAAATATAACTTGTAAGAAAGTCATGCATGTTATTTGTATGAATAATAAGCCACACAATTGGGTTATAGTGGGGCTGGTTACTGTTCAAACAAACTCAAATTGAATGATTAATGCATTTAGCATTTCTG